TAAATAAATATATATAGATGGATATATGGATATTAGATATCAGATGGTAAGTTGCCAACGAGACGCGTAGCACCGCGTTAACTACAACCAATCACGCATCCAGCAAGCGCAAATGGAATAATTGCTTTATTAAATTTCATTAATCCCAAATGTTTGGATATTTAGAGTTTTCTAAAGCTAGGTGTTCAGCTCCAAAGCACTTGGCACAATGGATTTCCAAATAAGGTGACTTGGAGTACGAGCTAATAACCGGAGTTGAATTAAGCAATAAAAGAATCAATATTCGAAGTTGAAAATTGAATCAATATGTAAATATAGTCATAAATCTGTAATTACACTATTCGGACATACGAAAAAAGCCAAAAATGAAATTAAAAAAAGTTCCCCTCACTTCCAATTCTATGGCTCCATGCACTGGGAAAATAAAATCTTACTAGGGTATCCAAATCCTTGCGGGGAATATCTTTCTCATCTTAATACACTCGCACACCTGGAAAGGGTTTAAGGTATAATCTGTAAAGAAGTTTAGTAAAAAAAAAAAACCTATGCACTCCCTACCCCTCCCCCCCAAAAAGAATAAAAAAAACATATGCCCCCTCCCCCTCTCCCCAAAAAAAACAGGATAAAAAAAAACCAGGACATGAACGCTCAAAAGAAATCATATGATTCCATTTGACCTTTTCGTCCCTGCCTGCTAAAATTTGTACAACAGTTCTGCTGAAAACAGATACATTTCAAGTTTTAGTTATGTCTAATGATGTGCCATCACCAGATTCAAATCAAGAGTTATCATCAATCTTGATAGTTATGCGGTATGTACCATTGTGAAAGGTCACTCTCACATTCAAATGATTAACTGAATCGTATGTTATATATTTTTACCAACTCCTGTTTTTGAGCCCCAGCAACCTGCAATTGTAGTCACTAGTAGTTCGAATTGATAACTTACCAACCGATTACTAGAACAGCCTGATACGAGCCTGTATTTGTAGAGATATTTTAGAACATTCCAAATGGCTACATCATAATCTATTGATAAATTGGTATGCACGACTAAGCGGTATAACAACAATGGAATATTCTGAAAGATAAAACCGTTCTCCTCCAGCAGAGCGTTATCCTTCATGAAATAACTCAATCAGCTTAGCAAAGAACTAGTTCACTAGCAACAACCACTGATTCACTTTTATTTCTGCTTAAACAGCTGTTCGCTTGGTGAATTTCTCTTTACCAAGTTCTGGTCGTGTTGAAGTGCTGTACAATGGTACATGGGGAACCATTTGTGACAACTCATGGGACTTACAGGACGCTGATGAAGTTTGTCCCCAGCTTGAATATGATGGAGCTCTTCGAGCAGTTCGTAATGCTGCATTTGGACAAGGAACAGGCCAGATATGGTTGAATGATCTAAAATGTAGAGGAAATGACACATCAATATCACACTGCACTTTAGGATGGGGAGTTCACAACTGTCGTCACAGTGGTGACGCTGGCGTAGTTTGCCGACCTGCGGGTAAGGCGTCGATACAACCACACATTCAAAGCAAACCAATTTTGTTTTTTTTTTTTTATTTCTCATCTATTAGCCGCTGTGCAGTGATGTGAGTACCACTTTTTCCAGGGAGCCAATGCACAAAAAATATATTAAAATGATCTATGACATACATTTAAGTCACTAACACTCGACAAAAGCAATCTCTCACCAGGGGGGTGGGGGGATTTCGAAGGGGTTTCCTTAATTCCTTGCTGACTTTTACATATCTATAGGAAGTTATAAAGCATCTTTTCTACCACAAAGAGAGTTTCTTTTATAAGCCCTCAAAATGTGAAACAAACTTTCTTATATTCTCGCAATGACAACAGTTCGTTTGGTGAGCCCCACGAATTTGCCGTCTTCTGGTCGTGTTGAAGTGTTTTACAATGGTATCTGGGGAACCATTTGTGACGACTCATGGGACTTACAGGACGCTGATGTAGTTTGTCGCCAGCTTGGATACGAGGGAGCTTTATCAGTACCTGGTGGTGTAGCATTTGGACGAGGAACTGGTCAGATATGGCTGGATGACGTTAATTGCGTAGGAAACGAAACTTCTTTAGCCCAGTGCAGTCACGGAGGATTAGGAGTTCACAACTGTGGGCATGAAAAAGACGCTGGTGCAGTTTGCCGCCCACTAAAAAGTCAGTAAAATAATAATCTGGCATACTATCAATTTCAAATCATCCTAGCTCTTTTCACTCCAATTTTTGAGTTTTAATCTCTGAATTCTCGGAGGTTACAAACCTGTCATTGGAAGATTAGCTTGGCAACAAAGAATCGTTGCATAGCATAGTTAATCTTACCAGATAAGTAAGTAAGTAATATTTTCAGAGGATATCCATTCCACAACTTTGTTCTATGAACTTGAAAGGTCCTGTCTCCTTCCGTTTCTCTATTGTACCGAGGACACATTAAATTATAACTCCCATAACGACTAACCCAACCATGCGAATCTGAATTTCTAGGAAGTAGCGCTGTTATGTAATTCAGACAGTCAGCTTCTTTGATACGGCAAATATTAATTTACACTTTAAGAGATTTATTTCATCTTTCAGCGGCAACCAATTAAGTCTTTCAAAGAGTACTCTACTCCTCTCTCCCAAGTCTGCATCCTGGAGAACAAGAGCTGCTCCCTTTTGCAATTTGAAAATTCTTTTACACTTTCATCCGACTCAACACTCTCTGCCCACGATTCATAAAGTATCATCGGCTTAATTAATGAGTTATATATTTTTTCTCAGTTCGTGAGCCGGCAGTATTCTACAGATCGTGCGATCTGATTGTTTTCGAGGGCGGGCAGTATTCCCTATCCGGCCCGCTCACAGCGGGCGGTATCCTATCCATTGTGTAATGAGTCACCTAGCAAATGTTTAGCTTCGTTGCAAGCTTTCAAGAATATATTGTTTTACCAGCTGGTCAGCTTTGTAAGCAGAGAGCTCGGTCACGACCCCAAGCCGAAAAATAACTTATTAATTCTCTCTTCTTTCTCTCTCAAATAAGAAAAAACTGATTTGGTACCGAATGTGTTCTTTTTTTTTATTTACATGCAGCCTACAAAACCGTTTGTATTTCAATAATCCTCCTCAAAAAGTATTTAAGAAAGTTAGAACAAGAGGTATTTTCAGTTAAAATTTAGATTTATTGATGCAACTTTCATTCGTTTAAAATCAGAATTCTACAAAACAATTTGTTCGTTGTAAGACGTTGAACGAAGGCTTGAGTTCTACTTTAGATAAACTTTCGCTAATTCTTTGCAAGTTCCACAAATTTGGATATTTCTACAGTATAATTCACAACAGAAACGAAGAAACTCGACGAGTAAAAGTCGCATTACATCCCCTTGTGTCTAGCTAGAATCAAGGGCTCTCTAAGCCAACTCGTGAATTGGATAAGCCAATGTAATTTATGTGTCGTCAATAGAAATTGATGCTTGATTTCCATACGAGGGTATGAATCGTCCTAAGAAGTGTTGGACTGGTAAATGAACGTTTTAAGGAAAAAAATGTGACATTAAATTAGGCCTCAAAGACAAAAAATATGGTCTGAGTAGGAATTAGTGTAAGACAATCATTGTTCCAGATTTTTCTGTAAAGGTTTATGGAAAGAAAGTTCAAAAGGGTGCTGTTTTGTTTATCGAAAAATTATTGTTACAATATTAAGCTTGGTACTTACATTGCGATGTAAGTATAGGGATAAGCATATAAAAGCATATGCGCTGGATGGGACGCTCGGACATAGGGATAAGCATATATGCATACGATTATCAAAAGGTTGCGTTCTTTTTATGCTTATGCTGTCTAGTGAGGTCTTGGTTGGCATAGCCATAAGTATAAACATAAGCGAAAGACTTTCAGGCAGTCAGCGAGCACTATACTGCTTATACCAACCATGTCATTATTTAACATAATTAACATCAACATAAGCATAAGCATAAGACTGAGCGCTTGTGCTTATGCTTATGTTGCAGTTGTGCCCACCTGCGCATTAGCTTTTAATGTTTATGCTTATGCTTGTGTTGCAAGTGAGTACCGCGCTTAAAGTCTGTTTCGCACTTCTGAGATAATTTTTAGCAAGATGGTGAAAACAAGTATAAGGATGTTCAGACTAGTAATATATGCATGCACACTGCGAGTTACATCATTGAAGAAACAGCATAGCGATTGATTGAAATTCCCACTTGGAAATACGTATGCGAGCAAGAATAAGAAAGAAGGAAAATGTTTCTTTTTCTTGTGCTTATGAAGGCTGCTGCATGCATAACCGGTCGCTTGATGCCATGTTTTCACGAGAGAGGTTTACTAGCTTACCGAGGTTTGGTAACTAAACCGCAGTTATTAGAGAAGTTGTTTACACAGAACTAATTAACTTAAGTAGGTTTGAGGTTTTCTCGGGAAGCCCAGTATCGCAATGCACAGAAACTAATAAGAAATTGTGAAATTTCTGACTTTACTGGCGGAATACTCCAGTCCTGAAGTAAGATCGTTGTGGATTTGCAGGCTGTGATGATAACGAGCCAAACTCTCCTAAATTACATAAAGCTTCGCAAATGAATATTTATTGGAAAGAAACTTTTTATTTCCCGCAGAACATTTTTTTTCTTTCACAGAAAAACTGAAACGACATCTGCCTCGGAGCCGGGCTGCGTAAATGTTTAGCAGTACATGTACTTCTTCCTTTTCGGGGCCCCCTTAAATTCTAATATTTGTTTTTCTTCTCCATAGACTTCAACCATGATTTTTTTTTTCTCTCTTTCTGACCAACTGGTTTTCTTCTTGCGCGTGCATACATGTACCCCTGCTGCTGAGCTGAGTTTCTAACAGAAAAGAAACCCTCACAGCACTTTACGGTTAAAGGAAAACGGCAGTCCGGGATTTCTTTGCTTTTAATCAGTTCTTCGTAAGTTTTGAATAGCCTTGGTAAACTTTCGCCCTTTCGTTTTCTCAACTTCTGGCACAAGCGGGACCGATATGTGAGTACCTTTGTAACTTTGTTTTTCCCTTTCCAGTCTTTTCAGTGTTGGGCGACAATATACAAACAAATATTGCAATGATCTGTGTAGATTTAAGATTTAAAGGTCAAATTCGTGCCAATTTGCGAGTCACTGAACGCCCACCATTTAGATAGAACAATGGGCTGTATATCAGCCACCAAAACTCTTTTAATTTGTTTCCAAACTTTTCTTCTGTTTTACTTTTATTGTTAATCTCGTTATAGACTTTAGAGTCCAGTATTTGACACGCGATTCTTTGATCATGTACTCCACGGCTTTTCATTAGATTGATAGAACTTCGTTATATTGTTGTTTCAGTTTGCGATCGATCGTTCGATAGATTGATTGACTGTGAGAATAATCGTTATTTTCGTCATTGATTGTAGTTCGTGGTCGATTGCCTTTCAAAAATAAAGATTCGTGCAAACAGTCGACTTTGGTTCGTCATTTCGATCAGTAAAATAGTCCCAAACACCTCGCTAACCGCGTTTTGGAGCGACACGCCCTTGAACTTGAGAATTTAGATTTTGGTCGCCGTAAACGCTACAGCAATAGTTAATTTAGCATTTTTGCCCGTTGACTTCTTCTTCATGGGCTGAATGCATGAACACTTGCCGCGAAGATGTCACAACACCGTCTTCTTTTCCCTGGCTATCGTCGGTTACTGAGCTAAACCATGCCGGCTATTTAAAATAGGGAACGGAGAATGGGAGAATGGGGAATGGAGAATAGAGCATGAGAAATCTTTAAAATGGGTAATCTTTAAAAGCAGGAATCTCTAAAATGGAGAATCTTTAAAAGCGGGAATCTTTAAAACGGGAAATCTATAAAAGCGGGAATCTTTAAAATGAAGAATCTTTAAAAGCGGGAATCTTTAAAACGGGAAGTCTTTAAAACGGGAAGTCTTTAAAAGCGGGAATCTACAACTCGCTCTTGCGCATGTGCGCAATTCACGAGTTAAAAAGCATTTCATTTGACTTCAATTTCTTGGTGGAAGAAACATTTTACAGACGCCATTACTGCAAGCAAAGAGGCAGACTCTCACAACTTCAAAGATACATTTGATTCGATTTACAATTTAATTTTTCTTGAAATTTTAAACTGAACAGAGGAAATTCTTCGTAGATTAATCGTCGCTTGAAGTGAATAATTTTTTCCATAAAATCAGTGAAGATGAAAAAGTCTCAGCGTTAGACATTTACCTCGAGTTAACTTGCTAAGACAAGTGCTTTGTCTTTTTCAAAAGTGTCAGCGGGCTTAATTTTTTCTTACGCGCTTTCTAATTGACAGGTGTCAGATCGTGACAGATACTTACAAGAAAATGTTTCAATATTCGCTTAGGAGACTTCTAAATAACCCTCAACGTAGTTAAAACTGTTTCAGTGAAGCCTCTCTTTATAAACTGCATTACCTCTGTTTTCCCTTTCGTCTACCCGCTCAAAAGTTGTTCCGTTTATGGAGGATCTTGATGTGAATTACAGCCAAAAGTTATTCGGGTTCTTCTTACAAGCATTTCGTTGAGTTTAAGAAAAAAAATGTTATTCACCATCCTCGGTCGGTCCGTAATGAGTATCCAAGACCTCGAGCACAATTTTTCCCAATACGGACCTCTCGGCTAGTAAATTATACATATTTGTAGCTTGCGGTCCAGAGGAGGCAAAAAAACGCACAATTATTTAACTATTGGGATCCTTTAAGACAGTTTTTTTTTTTCACAGAGATCATTAGAGGTCATTGTTCGCTTTTTTATGATTTATTGTACTTGATAAATTACGGAAGAAAAAAGAGGTTGTGGAAAACAGTAAGGGATATCCAAGATGTCTCACAAACGTAAATAAAACCAGAAATTCCAAAATAGCGCCAGAGATATATTAACCTTGGCTTGTCTTGAGTAAGACGCACAACTATAATCAAATTGAGAAAAAGAGTAAGTTCTAAGGAAACTGTGGTGCTGCGTCGGTAGGGTGGTGTAAACGATAATTTGGTTTATCTAATGAGATGATAATGTCATTTGNAAAATGTTTCAATATTCGCTTAGGAGACTTCTAAATAACCCTCAACGTAGTTAAAACTGTTTCAGTGAAGCCTCTCTTTATAAACTGCATTACCTCTGTTTTCCCTTTCGTCTACCCGCTCAAAAGTTGTTCCGTTTATGGAGGATCTTGATGTGAATTACAGCCAAAAGTTATTCGGGTTCTTCTTACAAGCATTTCGTTGAGTTTAAGAAAAAAAATGTTATTCACCATCCTGGGTCGGTCCGTAATGAGTATCGAAGACCTCGAGCACAATTTTTCCCAATACGGACCTGTCGGCTTGTAAATTATACATATTTGTAGCTTGCGGTCCAGAGGAGGCAAAAAAACGCACAATTATTTAACTATTGGGATCCTTTAAGACAGTTTTTTTTTTTACAGAGATCATTAGAGGTCATTGTTCGCTATTTTATGATTTATTGTACTTGATAAATTACGGAGGAAAAAAGAGGTTGTGGAAAACAGTAAGGGATATCCAAGATGTCTCACAAACGTAAATAAAACCAGAAATTCCAAAATAGCGCCAGAGATATATTAACCTTGGCTTGTCTTGAGTAAGACGCACAACTATAATCAAATTGAGGAAAAGAGTAAGTTCTAAGGAAACTGTGGTGCTGCGTCGGTAGGGTGGTGTAAAAGATAATTTGGTTTATCGAATGAGATAATAATGTCATTTGGCCACCGTAAGTAGTTTCTAAAGCTGACATTTCGATCGTTAGCCCTTCTCAAGAGCAAAGGACTAACGAAAGGGTTCGACAAGGGCTAACGAAACGTTAGCTTAGAAACACTTTACGGTGGTCAATTTACATTATCAAATCATTTGATAACTTTAAATTAAACCAAATTATTTCATCAGCAATTGGTTTGCGAAATTACAGGTTACGACATGCAGAAGGAACGGCCAAGCTGATCCACATTGAAGAAGCCGCTCTTTATTGATTCGCACCCCAATGAATCATGTACTTAATTCAAATTATTAGTTCAGTGCATCAAAAGTTCAGTGTATAAACTGGAGCCAAAGTGTGTCGCGGAAAGACAAAGTACCATCAGAGAGTGCTTTTCTCAGTACGAATACGCATACACACACACTCGCGCATTGCAAACGCAGTAAACTGCGACAAACTAAATGTTTTATAGCAGAATATTGAGTTGATTGTTGATCACCTAAACAAATCAGTGTATTCGCACGAACAACTTCCCTTGCGAATGTCACTGTCGTTTCTTTGTCATTGTATATGATTATACGTAAAGAATATCTTTGCGCTAAATTGCGATCGCCCAAATCCGACATATCCACGTTTTCTTTTTAATGTCAGGTTTCGATGCGTTTATATTCCAGTAAGATGCATATGACTTGGCGTACTTTAGCAACCTGATTTGAGTCGTATGTGATTCGAGGCATGACACACATGATCAAGACAGATAATTCAGGCCTACGAATCACTCTGAAATATCGCATGATACACGTTAGATAGTTTTCAAAACAGTAATCACCAAATGTGACAACTATGGTCTGTTTCTTGAAAACGGACGCATAAATTGTCTCGTTAGTATTAACGGAGGAGTTGTTTCGTTAATTCAACATAAAAGATATTTCTTCTATTTAATAAAGTTCGTCTGGTGAGTCCCGACAATTCACCGTCGTTTGGACGTGTTGAAGTCCAGTTTAGTGGTACGTGGGGAACAATTTGTGGTTACAACTGGAACCTATAGGAAGCTGATGTGGTTTGTCGTCAGCTTGGATACGATGGAGCTTTGTCAGCCCCTAGAAATGCAGTATTTGGACAAGGAACAGGCCCAATATGGCTGAGTGGGGTGCACTGCGGAGGAAATGAGACATCACTTTCACAATGCAGACACGCAGGGTGGGGAGGTCATAACTGTAGGCATAACAGGGACGTTGGTGTGGTGTGCCGTCGGATAAAAGGTAAATTCAGTCATACACAGGCACTCCAATTTACAATGTTAACTCCTTTTGTCCCGTGGTAGGGATACTTGCCAGAAATACTTGCTATAAGAAGAGTTTAAAACGCAGAACTTGTATTCATTTAAATGTTATCTTATTAGCATCTACATGATTCAAAATTTCTCTGCCTTACCATTCCTTGTAGCGCTATTTAACACGTAGGAAATTTCACGCTGCACATTTAGGTTACCCCGCTTTTTATAGTGCTGGCCGCAATTATCATTATTCTTTTTTTCACTATTTTACGAAAATCTTCGATCTTAGCGTGAAGCACATAGTTTTGTATATGAAAATTAAGGCAGTCAGTTTTGGGAGGGTGTCAGGAGGTAGAAAGGCTGGAAGGAGGAATAATTGTTATTTCTTATGCACTTTTTTTGACGTTGAGGGTCGATCCAGGATGTACAATGTTTCTCAAATTAATCTTTTCGTTTCTTCTTTTTTTCTTCTTTACTTTAATATTCTCAATTTTGTTGTTTTAATCGTAATGATATCTTCACTTAGAGGTGCTTGCACGCATGACCTCCGCAGTGTCTAGAAAGGTACTAGTAATGTTAGTGTTAACGACTACAAAATTGAATATATCTTCAAATTCCGAAAGGAGTGGACTCGTCATCTAAACGTATTAGTTTTTACGAAATTTTCAACTTTGATAGTTTGGCTCAGGTAAAATCAAAATAGTTGAACTCTTTATCAGTGTAGTCGATTCAAGTACAGAAATATCACATAACAAAAAGTACAAATACCATTTGGGCGGATAAAGATTTTAGTCTTCAGTAACTGCTTCCACAGTTACTTTGCTCTTGATATCGTGGATCTCTGTCAAGTAGATCGCCTCCCGGTTAGCTCAATTGGTATAGCATCGGACTGTTGTGCGGAAGGTCGAGAGTTCAAATCCGGCCGGACTAACACTCAGGGTCTTTAAGTAACTGAGTAGAAAGTGCTGCCTTTGTAATAATATCTGCAAACGGTTAGACTTTCTAGTCTTCTCGGATAGGGACGAAAAATGGAGGTCCCGTCTCACAAGCCCTTATATGCGATTTAAATTTGTGGGACGTTAAAGAACCCACACACTCCTCGAAAAGAGTAGGGCACGTAGTGCCCGGTGTTGTGGTCTATCTTTGTGCAGTGTCTATCCAGGGTGAATTGGGGGGAG